GCTTATAGTCCGTCAGTAAAGATATGTATCGCAGATGTTTTACTCTAGATATGTCACACTTACTGTCAATTTATAGCAAAGTAATATAACATCCGGTTACTTTCGCATGCGGGTAGCTGCTGAGTCATTTGCTAATTTGGGCACTCCGACGGTAAACAACGTTTGCTTTATAATCACTTATAGTCAATGTGACATTTCACATCTTTCCAGAGCAGAATTTTCATATAAGATATAATTGTCGACGCATGGGTAGGATGGAGCACTCAATCGATCTCCTTTCAAACGATTACTGAATAATCTCTCTTGCCAGCTCCACCTGGACCAACTAATCACAGAACCCACAAGAATGACAGAAACATCACAAACCACGATTGACTTGATTTTCGTTAACAATACTCAGAGAATTGTCAGAAGTGGTGTGATTCCTTGTGCGTTGAGTGACCACTCTCTCGTGTTTTGCGTCTTTAAAGCTGGTGTTACTAAAGCTCCGCCGCGTATAATTGAATACCACTCTTACAAACGCTACAATAAAGAGTCTTTTCTGCAAGATCTTGGAAATAACAAGTGGTCTGCTGCAGTAGATGATAACGATATTAATGCTACCGTTGACAACTGGTGCAAATGTTTTACTGACATAGCTGATCTGCACGCCCCGATCAAGGGAGTGAACATCCCGTGGATGACAGCAGAGCTAAGTCAGGCAATGCAGCAACGAGACCATCATTTAAAGAAGGCACAAAAAACCCAGTCAAAAACACACTGGTCTGCATACCGCAAGTACCGCTGCTTCGTAAACAAAAAAGTGCGTGAATGTAAATCCCAATACTACGAAAACCTGATAAATTAAAGAGAATAAAAACAATCCTTCTGGCCTATGGAAAACTTTGAATGAGTTGACATCCCGCAACATAAAATCCTCAGCTCCAAGTTCAATTATAACGGACGGTGTAGAACACAAGAACACAAAATCCATGTCATCTCTATTCAATAAATTTTTTACCAGTATTGGAATAACTTTGGCAAATGCGATCAAACAAAAATGTACGCAATCCCAGTCTCCCGGAAATCCACCACCAGGAGTTAATTCAACCTTCAAATTCCAAGAGATTCAAATTACGTCTGTTCTCAAGAATTTATCAAAACTAAAAACGAACAAATCCACCGGTCTTGATCGTATCACCGCTCGACTATTAAAAGATGCTGCCGTAGTCATCGCCCCATCGCTAACCCAAATATTTAACCTATCGCTAAGCTCCTCTACTTTCCCCAAAATCTGGAAAAACGGTAGAGTCACACCTATCTTTAAATCTGGGGAGCGCTCGAACATGTCAAATTACAGACCTATTACAGTATTGCCAACCCTAAGTAAGATTTTGGAACGTTTTGTTCACACACAAATCTACAACTACCTAACCGAAAACAAAATCATAACTTCTAATCAATTTGGTTTTAGACCTAAACTATCAACCAGCACTGCTTTGGCTTTCTTTACCGACAACATTCTTGAAAACGCTGATAACGGTCTGATTACTGCCTCTGTTTTCTTGGACTTTAGTAAAGCATTTGACACCGTTGACCATGCTATTCTGTTGTATAAATTAAAATCCGTTGGCTTGGATGACATTAATTCCCTAAATTGGTTGGAGTCCTACCCTTCCTCTCGTCAATAAGTAACATCCATCGACAATACGCTGTCCTGCTCTCTACCCGTGTCAGTCGGCGTTCCACAAGGAAGCATTTTAGGGCCACTTCTCTTCATTATTTATATCAACGATATGCCCAACATTGTTAAACACTGCAAGATATTACTCTACGCTGACGACACTCTTCTATACTACTCATCCAAGTCAGATAGTGACATTGAGCAATACGTAAACGAGGACCTTAACTTGATCTCCCAGTGGCTTGATCAAAACTTACTTACATTGAACTGCAAAAAATCAAAGTTCGTTCTGTTTGGCATGAGTTTCCTGTATGGTTTGTGTTTTGCGTTGTTCAGGTCGAAAGTAACATCTAAAAAATTTAGGCTACAACGTTCAAATTTACTTCGGCGGTGATTTTCAGGCCAAATTGCTCGAAAATTTTGGGTATTTCCTTTCTAGTTTTTTCTAGTAAACGGGCGGATTTGCTTTTTATAAAGCCAAACCGTCATTTCTATAAAGGCCGATGTTTTCCTTGCCAAACCTCTTACCTAAGTGATTTAAAATGAAAAGGCCCACCAGCTCACAAATTTCAGCGCCGTCGAAACTACCCATAGTGACGTCAAATAAACTCTCTCATCGGACGAACAATCATTTAAGGAATCTACGCCTATTTACCAGAATGCCCTTAGACACAGTAACTTTGATTACGAATTTACGTACACTCAGGATGCACCTCAACGACCACGTAGGAATAGGCAACGCAACATAATTTCGTTCAACCCACCATTTAGTAAGAGTGTTAACACGAACATAGGACGGGAATTCTTAAGTTTAATTGACAAACACTTTACACTAAAGCACAAACTACACGAGATTTTCAACAGAAACACTTTAAAAATAAGCTATAGTTGCATGAACAACGTTAAGTCTATAATCACTAAACACAACGCACATATAATTAGGAACAGCCAATCACAGAATACGGAAACTGACAACTGTAACTGCAACAACAAAAACACTTGCCCACTACCGAAACAATGTATGACCAACAACGTTATTTACAAAGCCACAGTCACAACCAACAATACGAACGACACTAAACACTACATTGGTATGACAGCGACTACATTTAAGGAACGTTACGCTAACCACACTTCATCTTTTCGTCATAAAAAAGACTCAAACAAAACGGAACTTTCGAAACATATTTGGAAATTAAAGAAAACAATCAAGATTATACCATCAAATGGTCAATTTTAAAACACGCTATTTCGTACACAGGGGGATGAACACGTTGCAATTTATGTTTGGAAGAAAAATTTTGCATTTTGAAAGACATAAACAAAGATAATTTACTCAATAAAAGAAGCGAAATTTTCGGCAAGTGTCGTCACAAAAACAGGTTTCGAGTAAACAAGGTCGTTAACAAAATTTTATGACCCAAGCATTGTTTCACCTAAGCACTGTTTCAATTGTTTCGCCTAAGCATTGTTTCGCCTACACGCATTCCACGCATTCTTTCGATAGCATAAAAGCAACCTACATTTTCGAAATTATCCACCACCTGATGATTCCTATACGGATGAAACAGACTGTTGTGGTTTTTTGAGGTAAAAAGAAAAACTATATTAAGCTCTATCTATATTGTATTGAGCACTGTTTGTGTTTCGTAAACCAAAAACCTAAGCTATATATTATATATATATATATATATATATATATATATATATATATATATATATATATATATATATGAATGGGTGTGAGGTACCATGTCTGGATAGTGTATGAACTTGGCTTATAAGATTTCTTCAGACATAAAAATACACAAAGTATATTTTCGAAACGTTTCGCCTATTACGACTTCTTCAGTGGAATGTTTTTACAATAATATTTCCTCCTATTTATATGAAACTAATTAAAAAATTAATACTAAATTTACAATAAGTATGCTAATGTATATAAAAACATGCAAAACATGCAATTGATTTATTGTTCCGTAGTTTAAAATACTATACAATGTTAATAGATTAAAATAATTCAAACACTAATTATTCTACCAGTACAACCGTTCATCAAGTCTCCAGAATGTTTTTGTATTTCAAATGCTTCGACGTATTTCCTCTCCCCGTCGTTCACGATATTAGCATGTAAAATCTTCCACTTTATTGTAGGTAACTTTGATTTCTTGTGGGATTCCAAATGTTTATAAACCGTCTGCTTTTCCATTGTCAAGTGTTCTCTGATCCGTGATCCAATTGTTCGCCCCGTTTTCCCAATGTAAACAATTCCACATATTGAACATTCGATTTTGTAAGAAGAAGAATGTAGTTTACTCAGCGTTTTCCTCCAAATTTTCTTCGGACAAAACAGAGCAATCAGTTTTTGTAAACACAAGAAGAAACATTGACATATAAGCATGGCACAAAGAATCTGGGATTACACTGTTACAGTACGAAGGAATGCAGCCACCCCTCGCTTATATTTTCAAAACATTGATTTAACATGAATTTTTGTAATTGGCCAACACTGAGTGAAGTCTTCCATTATGCGTCAGTGTTGCCATGGCAACACAATTGGGAAATTCCAGCTATAGACTATATTTTGATCTAGGCAAGAAAAAATAAATCCATCACCTCAGCAAGAAAGAGCATGTTAAAATTAGTAGAATTGCATAATTTGCACCACTTTCGTCCCAAATGTGGTGCATTTTCCCGTGCGTAATACAAATTAATACAAAATTTGCAAAATTCGCAGAGCTATATATTCTCTACATTTTACAACTTTTCGCAACCAAACTTTGCAATTTTACTAATTTTAGCATGCTCTTTTGGCTATGATAATGGATTTTGTTCTTCTTGCCTATATCAAAATTTAGTCTACAGCTGGCATTGCCCTAATTTTCCAACTATATTCTGTAGGTATGATATTTTCCATTGTGTTAGCTTTGATTTATTGTAAAGTTTAACCGGGAACGTTTCGAAAAATGTTTTGAAATCTTCATTCAACTAATCTGTAGCCCGCGTAGCAGTCGCTTTATTTTGAGGATTTTTTAATAAATGGCTGGTTAGAAAACATGGGCGAAGAGAAAGAAGACGAGAAAAACGGGCAAAGGAAAAATAAAGCGCCTGCAATCGTCCTTAACAAAAATTAATTCCGGCCACTTACTTGAAATTTCCGGCCACACTAAAACATCCAACCAATCAGACACGAACCGCAAGTATGAAGTTAAGTGGCGGCGTAATTATGCAATGACAACAAGCAGATATGGCGCACAATTTTGACCAAAGCATCATTTTTATTAAGGACGTTTGCAGGCGCTTTATTTTTTCTTCGCCCTGTTTCTTTCGCCCGTTTTTTCTCGCCTTCTTTTTGTTTACCCATTTTTCTAACTCGCCATTTATTCAAAAATCCTCAAAACCTTCAAAAAATAAAGCAAGTGCTACGCAGGCTAACTAATCTGCGATTGCCAATGAATTGCTTGTACATAATAATAAAACTAATTAATGTTTGTGATGTTACTCTGAGTGTGCATCCACACCGGGCAAGCTGAAAAGTTTGCCTGACCACGGTGGAAATCGAACCCGCGACCTTTGGGATACTAGTCCAATGCTCTGCCAATTAAGCTATGAGATGAAGTCGGTTCAAGTTGGTGATATTTCGGAACTGATTCTAGTTCTTTCGATATCAATTATGCATTCTAAGATATGATACTTTTTGTGTGTGTTGGTGTTGTGTACTATAGTACTTAGAGAATATCCAAAATATCTGAAGTATCAGATTAAGGTTACTCCACATGATGAAAGTCCATTTCAGGAAAATGCTCGCCGCGCACTAAATTTTCAAGTTTCCCCCCTCAAATTTGGCACTCACAACGATAAATCATTGCTGCTGCTACTACTTTAACAAAACTTATACATTTTTAAAAACTATGGTTGCTACGAGCTGCTTTTGAAAATATGACGCACTTCACCCGACGAGCTTTAGAACCGTGCGATTATACTCAGAAGCTTCCGAAATATCACATTTCCCATGTTAAATGATCAAAGAACAAAACCGTAGAGCAAAAAACAAAAACTTGACATGTAGGCTATTATATTTGCCGAGATATAAAGCAGATAAGTTGACTCATCAAAAATTTGCAATGACGATAGAACAGAAGCCTATAATTCGAAAACTAAGGCATTAAAAGAAAAACGCGAATAAAGTTTTGTTCCTCTGATATTGTTCTACATTGTGGCAAAGTTTGGTAGCAATTGAATTAAACGTGCCCGTTCCATAACTCTTTTTGTGAGGACAATCGGGCTGAGAATTCCTTCTCTGTAAAAGACAAAAAGTGATTTCGCGGAGTTTTTCCGTTCTCTGTTATGTTTTTCCGCCCCCTGTCATCACTTCAAACTGTAAGCCAATCCAGTTCGACTTTTTAAAGTGTGTTTTGGCTGGGTTTCATTTCAGAGTTCGGAATCAATGATAAGGTGATAAGCAGCGCACTTATAGTTATATATAGTTTTTATCATGCAGTTTAACACTTGCGAGAAACCGCGGACATTCAAGCCACGTGCGAAACTCAGCAAAACTTGCTAATATTTGGAATATGCCGGTGAAACGCAAAGGCAAACAACGCAAAGCTACGCAGCCCTTTGATTTTCTAGGCATAAGGCTCACGCGTTAATGTTTGGCCTGAAGACTGATCACTTTTTAAACCGGCGTTTTACTTAGGAAGCAAATTTCACTGTGTTGTGTACGATCCTGTTATTACAATGATATAGCTATATCTAAAACATACAAGCCGCCCAATCAGTTGAATACCGTCTGTGGTCACACTTATCCACAAAGTGTCAATCACATTTAAAACTTTCCCGGCAAAAAAATTAGACTATAACATTTTCGGTTATATCTCGGTTGCATTTTAATATTTTAAAAAAATATTTGCAGAAATGGAAAGATCTCTAGCCCCTCGATATAAATCGACAAAAATGTAAAAAAAGGACAAAATCAATGTTTTCATCATATGGAGTAACCTTAATAATTCATAGCGTGGATTCGCGGGTTCGATTCCCACCGTGGTAAGGCAAACTTTTCAGCTTGCCCGGTGTGGATGCACACTCAGAGTAACATCACAAACATCATGCATATTCACCTGAGTACATAACACCAACACACACAAAAAGTAAAACAAAGTTTTAAAAACAAGTTTCCTTTTTTATTAAGACATGATAATTTAGCAAACTTACAGCTTCACTGAAAAGAAAAGCAGTGCATGGTTTAGGCAAAAAATTAAACCTAAAGCAGCAAGTGTCATATTAAACATTAATCTTTCAAAGCAAACTTGCCGTATGTTTCAAGATTTCGATAGCAATCAATTCTTCTAATTTCCTCAAACAAAAACTGCTTCAAATTTCTTGTATAAAAAAAAGTATAGTTAGTGATTTGGGGCTTCTGGCGAATGTTGAACTTCTCAGACGATCATATTTCAGAGTAACTCACCGAATACATGCAACCTTTCGATTTGAACCCATATGTTGACCGAGCATTGTAAATCTCAAAGCTTTTAGTAAATCTCCTGAGCGAACTAAAGGCAATACTATGCCTGGATTAAGTTGCGCGTACCATCGGAAAGCTTCTTTGAGGGGATAGTAAAAGTAGATTTTATTTACCACCTTTGGCAGAGAATTTCAGTGGTATTACAGATCAAAAAGTATTAAAATTTAAAAGTTTGCACCAAATTTGGAGTATATAAACTTATATTAACTATAATTCTGTTTACGACTATTTAACTAACTAAGAAGAATTATTGTCTACATATTTAAGTAAGACTATTTTGTTTACTATGTTTGTTAAAATAGCTCAACCAAGCTGCTCTCGGTATGAATGATTGTTTATGTCTGTCCATATGTAAACTTGGCGCTAAAAGTTAGATGTAACCTGTCCTTAAGTTATATATTCATGTCCGTTAGTTTCACCAATAAATCTTTTACATGGTTGATTTTTGGATTGAATTCTGTCTTGAAGATTTGGATTGAATTCTGTCTTGGATTGAATTCTGATTGTTGAATTCTGTCTTGTTCCTTCTTGATCTAGCGACTCAATTGAATTCCTCTGTAAACCAATAACGTCTTGACATCGATTTTGTACTCTTCTGATATTTTTTTAGGTAGTGCGGTAAACCAGCCCAAATTGGTGCCGCGTATTCCAGAATGGGCCTTATCTTTGTGCAGTAGGTTGTGAGTTCTATATTTGTCATTTACTTGCCCTCATAACGATATCTTGGACATGTTATTTCCATTTAAGATTATTCTGCATGCATGGTACTGTAACTCCAAGGAGCTTGAATTTTGTAACTCTTTCGATCGTTTCATTGTACTAATGTTTGGAGGAGGCAACAACTCCATTTTGTTTTGAATGGCCCACTCCTTCAGGGAATTTACTGCTTCCTGCACTTTGCTGTTTTGATAGAGACAGGTTCGTATTGGCTACAATCGTCAGCATACTTGCACGTGACTGTTGAAAGTTCATTTGGAACACAATTTCCATGTCATTGAATATAAATCTCTGTCTCTCGCAGATAGACTTTAAAGTTTCTTTATCCAACAGAATCTAAGGCCATGTTGCAGCTGGAATTTTCTCGCTTCTGCTAGTAACTTCTGCACACCGTGTGTTATGTGCTCAAAGATCTTAGCTTCTGGCATTGGGTCTTGAACTTGGCAACTTGCAGTCCTATATCAGCGGGTGTAACTTAATTTACGTATGTTTTTAAGAGCTTTAATAATAATTTCTTCTTTCACGACCCTTATAACAAACTTACAGATAATCGGCCGTGACGTGGGCCTTGCACCTCTTGAAGGGACACGATGTGCGATATCGATGTCATCCCGCGTAAGTTCGACTCCCAATTTCTGAAAGAGCTTGAGGCACAAACTCGTTGCTTCAAAAGCAGATTTGCTTGAATTTCATTTCGTTGTAGTTTACTGTGTAGCCAATCAAAATCGTTGGAAAGAACATTATTAATTAATTTGTTCTTTATTAATTTATTCATTTTGCTATGCGCCTCATCGGCTATCAGCTCATATTCGACTCGAGTTCGTAGAATAACTGTTAAATATCGCTATCGTTTGTTTAAAAATTATTTTCAAAAAGTTTTTGATAGAAAGATTTAAACACGATAATCAACTACGGTTGTTCAGGCGACTTGGACGAATTGTGAAAAACTGATAAAACTAAATGTACGTTGGAATTTATTCAATTGTGCCAGAGCTTTGATTTAACCCTGCGTTTGCGAAAGTAGAGAGCTCAAAAGCAGAAAAAAGGAAGCAATCAACCAAGAAATACGAACGAAAACCTTGCATAGAGCCTTAATTCAATTAAAGAGAGGAAGTGACATTGTCGTAACTAAACCAGACAAAGGAACAGGTGTCTTGGTGATAAACAAATCCCAATATAAGGAGTTATTGAATAAGGCGTCCACAAACAGAAGAGAAATTTCAAAGTGTCAGTCTAGAACGACCAAAGTCAAAAAGCAGACCGGCGAAACACTACCATTCATTGCTTCAGAAAGATAAAGAGAAAGCGCCTTGCGAAACATCTTGCCAAAATAAATCGCGGATTCCATATCTCCGAAAGGTTCGCCTCTTGCGCATCTTTTTGGCCTCTGGAAGACCCATAAGCAAGAATCGGCAATGAGCCCCAATTTTAGTTTAGTTGGAAATTTCCCCCAATATTTTTTAACGTTATTCAGCGTCTGGTTTCATTATCTTTGTTTAACAGGGAGACGGACTTACAATTCTTCAAGGTGGAGGGGAATATTGGTGGCTTGCTAATGACAAATATGGGTAAACATAGAAATAACTTTTTCTCATCATCGCAAGACAGATGTAATGTTTAACTACTTGTTCTGCGTGCATTTTACCAACTAATAAATTTGTATTAATATTTGTAATAACCGTACTGTACATGTGCTTTAAACGACTTGTTCGCAACGACAGCAGACACATTCCAATGCACAGTTGTACAAATAGTGCAGTATATGCACAGCGTAAACAGGACGCGAAAATAAAAATGTTTTGTGATTGGCTTGCTTAAATAAAAGTGCTCAGTGTTTGTGACTAGTTCTTTAGAAAATGTATTCTTTAGTTTTATTGTTTTAGTGGATCAACAATAAAAGTTCTATTGGTGGTTTCAAAAGCACCATGTTGTAATGCTTATAGAATAATTATCTCAGAGGGCAAAAGAGCGGCCAATACGAAATTTAAAATAGTATTCCTTGTACTTTTATAGGAGGACAGGTTATATCCCAGGAAATCATGTGCGTCACAAAGGTGTCTTAGGAACGAAAGTGTAAGTTTTTGGCTTTAGTATTTCTTCTTCTATAAATATGTACAGTACATATATTTGATGTGAAAATATTCTATGTGCGCGTTGCCCTTGCATATTTTGTATTTTCAGTTGGTTTCTTGGTGATATCTTGAGACATGTCGCTGAAGAGATGTTGCTAAAGGAGGTAATACCCCGCGTTTTTTCAAACGTTATATCAAACTTGATCGCACGGAATCCAGGGCCGTATCAACCGGGGGCGTTAGGGTGTGTGTGACTCCCCCCCCCCCTCCCGCGTCTCCCCCCAAATATCTGTTCATCAGTAATTTCTGAGGCCGGGGTTGTACAAAAACGTAGGTGAAGTTAGCCATAGTTAGCGTTAACTACTATAGTTGAATCCTTAACTGTAATCAGTTAACTACATGAGTTAACTACTTTGCATAAAACGTGATTAGTTAGATAGTTAACTAATGACGTAGTTAACTGCTCGACACCACACTAGAAATACATGAATTGAACGGCTCCTCGCTTTGCTATCACTAGAACTATGTTTTCCAACTCGATATATTTGAAGTGCTTCTCATGATTACACGATCACTCCATTCTTGATATTTTTAAAATTGATAAAATTATTAATTTGCCAAATACTGTATGTAGGTTATGTATGTTATTCTACATAATACCTGCTCAAATTTAATGTTAAATTCAACCACAAACGCTTCGCAAAACGTTTTAAAATGTTCATAAAGGTAAACCTTCCTTTTACCGATAAACTTTGTGAGTTTAGATCAAATTATGTTTAAATCAAATTATGCAATTCTTGCACAAAATAACCTGGCTCTCATCTTTATTCAAAGACTTCTAATAATAAAAAATAACAAGAATTATCGGTACTCGTTTTACAAAATACACTGGGTACTCTCTCTTTTTTTATTACACTCATCGCTTTTTCAAAGAAACAAAACATCAATACTTGAAACAAGATTGCTTTTGATTTTACAATTTTCTGCAATTTATTGTCCCTGATTTTTTGCTATGAAGCAATGACAAATAAACTGTTTGGCTGCTCGTCTCATTAGCGATTTGTCAGGTTTTCGAATCATGTTTTTTTCGATCGTCAAGCTAGCTACAGCAACAGGTAATTTTATGCTAAAATTTTCATGATTTGGAGATTTTTTGAAATGTATTGTCTTTAAGGCCCTGTTACACGGTGCAATTTTTCATGCAACTTGTCTCGCAATGGCGTTGCGAGACAAGTAGCACGAGTCATTGCACCGTTTAACATGCCTTGCAATGGTCAAAATCTTTGCGAGACAAGTTGCATAAAGCATTGCACAGAGTAGAAGTCGGTTCTACTTCTGGCAACGATTGCACTCATTATTTTTAGCATTGCAGCGTGTAACATGGCTTCGTGCAACTTGTCTCGCAATGTTTATAGCTTGGGGAGTTCCTATTGGCTCTCCCCAGTACACGCTTTACTTTAATTAAAATTTGGCGCCAAATAGCCCCTCTCCCCAGTCTCTTCGCATGCTTCTGTCCCCTATCGTTGCGAGTTGCATGAAAATCATTGCAGCGTGTAACACCTCCTGCAATGCATTATCAAAATCTTTTTTTAAACATTGCGAGACAAGTTGCATGAAAAATTGCACCGTGTAACAGGGCCTTTAATCTACTGTATTTAGACGCAGGCTTATTAGCGTGGCTTGACCAGTTGGCATGGCTAACTTCGCCGCTGTTTCCCCCTGCAAATATTCTCGTTTCACTCCTGAAATCCACCACACTTTTTGTTACGATATGAACTTCCTGTTTATTACTTCCGATATGCAAATATGTTAGGTCGCGCGATCAGACACACTTGGCTGAACGAGGACACGGATTTACATATTGTTGTTTTAATTTTTGTGAGACACTTTTTTTGTTAGACCTAGTAGACAAAGGTTGATGTATATATGAGACATAGAAAAACGTGTCAGGAGTGAAAGTCGATTAAGATTAGCCAACAACAGCAGTAACTAGAGAACAGAACCGGTTCGAAGCGAAATTCGCGTACGATCGACGACCAAAGACGTGAAAAAAGCAACATAAAAATGACAGATACAAGCGGTGAACAGCAAGCCGTCGCTCAAGCTACAACGTTAAATTTTACATCTACTTTCTCGGTGCCTTCCCCGATGGTTTGCCCGGGAGATAAAGTAGCCAACTGGGAGTTTTTGAAACAGCAGTGGGAAGATTACGAGGTCGCCACAGGCCTAGAAAAGCGAGACGCGAAAATTCGACTAGCCACGCTACGATCAGTAATGGGCAAAGAATGTATGCAGATATTTATGAAGGAGAGAAAATATATCGAGATATGCATCGGAGCACTTGAAGCACAACGAAACGTGGTATACGAGCGATATAAGTTCAACTTACGTTCTCAGGATGCAGAAGAGTCCGTAGATGACTATGTTAATCGCCTCAGAAAACTCGCCTCGTTCGTGTTAGTTCGGGACACGGACAGATGAATTAATTCGAGACAGGCTCGTGCTGGGAATTACGGACAGATCGACAAAATTACGACTTCTCAAAGAAGATGGTCTCAACCTAAACAAGGCCGTGAACATGTGCCGCTCAAGCGAAATTGCGAACATACAATTGAAGTCAATGTCAACGACAAAAGAAACAGAAGAAGTAAATGCATGCTGTACAAGAAAAGGGAAACCGCCATAAGTATCCGTCATCCAAATTCCAATCGGCTAGCCCGCGAGTCGGTAGCGCTAGCAACAGAGATAACCATGGCCAAGGTTATAAGAATTTCAAACAAAAATGCTACCACTGTGGCAGAAAACAAGACCACAAACTTGAGAACTGTCGAGCGTTTGGACAATCATGCAATGCCTGTGGAAAACAAAACCATTTCGCAGCAGTGTGTTGGAGCACAGGAAACCCAAGAAACACAAGAGACGTGCGATCCGTGAAACATGAAGAGATACCCGTCAATTCATCCGATTCAGAAGAATCGATTTTCACAATCGAAGATGTATCCTCTGTACGATCGCAAGGGAAACAGTTATACGCGAATATGAAGTTTCAAGATATTGAGACAGCGTTTCGAAAGGACCTAGAGTGCCAACTTGACAGTGGAGCTACATGTAACGTCATGAGCTACGACGACTTGTCACGAATAACCCAGATCGGATACCCAAAGCTACACAGCTCGACAGCAAAACTTCGTTTGTTTGATGGTTCAATGATGAAACCTCTCGGTGTTGCTCATCTAAAAGTCGAAAGAAACCAAGTCACCGAAAACTTAGTGTTCCAAGTAATCGAGACCAAGAATAGGCCCCTGCTGTCGGCAGAAACGTGCGAGAAATTTGGGTTGATCAAACTTAATGTCGAGCCAGTCAACGTTGTCAAGGAAAGTTCACCACTTCTCAGACGTGAAGAAATCCTAAGCAAATGTAAAGACGTATTCGAAGGTTCAGGACATATGGGAGACGCGAGTTTTTCGGTAGATCCAGAGAGCACGCCAGTGCAACACGCACCACGACGTGTCCCCGTAACACTTCACACAGAAGTTAAAGAGAAATTGACTGAATTAGAAAGAAAAGGTATCGTTGTGAAAGAAACGGATCCAACGGACTGGATAAGTCGTATGGTGGTCGTGGCGAAGCCAAACAAGATCAGAATATGTCTAGATCCCAACGATCTCAACAAAGCGCTCAAAAGACCGAAATACCAGATGCCAACCCTCGAAGAGATGCTCCCAAAGTTAAGTAAAGCCAAGGTCTTCACCACTCTTGATGCGAAGGACGGGTTTTACCAGATAGCTCTAGACGAAGCAAGCAGCAAACAGACGACATTCTGGACGGCGTTTGGTCGTTACCGGTACCTGCGTATGCCATTTGGTCTCAATACTGCTGCAAAGGAGTTCGAGTGCAAGTTACAAGAGAAACTCTTTTTTTATTTTATTTTTTTATTTTTAAGAACTTTTATTAAAAATACACATTAAAATTATGGTTACAATTAAAAAGAAATGTTTAAAGTTAAACGATTAGTTGCATCTGTTTATTTGTTTTCCAAACGAGTTCATATGTTCCTATACAATTACTGTTTAAATTTTGTTCAGCAAGAAACACGTCCTTCAACTAGCGCTAGTTCAATCTTCCCACCAAAGGAATTAATTGGATTGTGACGAGAAGATCTGGATCCTCGTAGGCACATTATCGCTGATCGTAACAATGAAAAGCTAAGTCGGCACCTATGCCAGTTTATTGTCTTGCTATATGGCTTGCCGTGTTTTTCAGCGATCAAAGATGCAATTCTCTTGTAGACCACGTTTGCAGTGGCATCCATACCACCCGCTGTCGAGAAGACCAGCGGAGAAAATGACCCGTGTTCTACTTCTCTGATTCTTTCGTCGTATGCTCTTCTTTTCTCCAGTTCATTCTTACGATAGCATTGAGAGAGGGAGGTGTTTCGATGGCTCGGTGCGAAAGGGTTGAACACCCTGACGTCAAAAAATGCACGTTGCCGATCACGCCCCCAGAAACTTTCTGCTACAACATCCAGTCGAGCACCATCTTCTCTGTTTGCTGATCTGTATGAAAACGCTAAAAGGTTGTAGGCCTGGTTCAACACCAACCCCATAGCATACCTCCGTCAAAAATTCAGCAGTAATATGTCTTATTTCGTTGTGTCGGATTGAGGGAAAGCCTCCTCGTGAGCAACTTAAGGCATGCTCTATTGTAAACTTCTGATCACAAACGCAGCGGGAGGGAAGAAGTTGTGGAAGCCATCCACATCTCAGACATAGCGCATCTCGAAAAGCTCCTTTGTGTAGGTTGAACCCATAGTCTGACAACGGAAGCGCGGTAAGCCATGTTGAAGCTCCTTTCATTGCTATTGCAAGGGGATCTCCCTTGTGTAGTGCCCTTTTGCGAATAAATTGCTTCTCCGTCTATAAACAATGGAATGTGTTCTCTGTAGGTATTTGTCAATACCTTCGATAGTGCTGGGCAAAGATGCTTGATATTAATTAAGGCAGTTTGACGGTTTAAGCAGTTAAAAGCATTGGTAGCATCCACAAGAATAACACCATCCGCATCCTTATCTTCAAATACTTGATGCATAGCGTGAACAGCTGCCTCACAACCGGATAAATGTCCAGCACATGTCTGTAGTGGACCTGTAGCTTCTTGAATCTCGTTGCCAATCACTCTGACAATCGCTTTACCAATAATACGCCGAACCACCTCACCAATTCCGACTGGACGTACTGCAGGGCATTTATCAAGC